GTACTGACCCCTGGGGAACACCACTAGTCAGCTTATACACTGAGCATAACATTTACAGTGTAAAATATCCCTTTGGTCAGTTTGGGTCAGCTATCCTGGCCATGTCTCCTCCCAGCTGCCTGTAGAGGAGAAGCTGGGAGAAGAGGGGCAGTATGAGAAACTGAAAGAAGTCCTTGGCTTAATGTAAACAGTGTCGCCAACATTCTTCTCAGTATAAATCCAAAAAATAGTCTCATAACAGCCACTATGAAGAACGTTAACACTATCCAAGCCAAAACCAGCACAGCTCTTTTTAACTCTACAGTCAGTTTCTTAAAATGAGACAAGAAACACCAACAATATAACTTTAAGAAAGATTATTTTACACGTTATTTTACTACTACTAGGCTTACCCAGCCAATCTCGTCATTTCACGGCCTGCCAGGACTATTCTGCCCAAAGCTTGAGACATTCTCAGTAACATTCTTCCACTTTGGTAGTAATCCTAGAGTAGAATAAAGTTTCTTTATGTGAACTAACAAAATTTAAATTGAAGAAATTATTCTAATTCTGTTCTATTTACCTCCAAAAGTTCTGCATGAGTACTATTCTGGTGACGAGGATCAGCCAGGTTCAAAAATGGACGACTAACAACCAGGTAACCAACCACAGTGGCAAGGTCTGTAGTTTAAGAGTAAATATCAAGCTACACATTAATTGAAGCAATAAGAAGAAAAAAATTCTCATGTAAAAAGTTTAGCACTTTGTTATTTATAGCAATCCATTAGCACTGGACAAACACTTACATTTGGCAATGATAGTATCAATGAAACCCATAGAGAACCGGAACAGGATGAAATTATGCAAGTGTTCCACCTGTAAGTCACAGAAGAAAAAGGTCAAGCTGTATCAGAACCTGTTTTACCGTATTTTATTATTTTACAGACATGTGATTACAAACAGTTATTTTTCACTAAGTGACAGATACCTCAACACGCCTGTAACTTTTTACAAGCGCTGTGCATGTCCCTGCTGGCAAAAACTTGCATTTCAGACCAAAAGCAATCTACACTTGAAACTTAGCAGTGCGGAAACAGTAATTGTGGTGGGTAAAGAGTTAATTGGCAATAGAAAGACCATTCTATCATAAACTTTTATTCTGCTTATAACCCTACTAATTTATTTTTAAATCAAATTACTATAGCAGCTTAAACAGCAAGCCACTATATTTCAATTTACGTTAATATATGTCAAGAATCACCATGATAAAATTAACTGAAGTTTTGCCTAAAATGTTTTAAAAGATAAAAGAATCTTACCAGTTTGCGGAAGGTTTTGTGAATAGTCTGTTTTTCTCTCAAGTTTCCATTATAAAAAGCAATTTCTTCACTAAAAAAAACACAACCACCAAACCAAACAAAAATTATAAACCACACAACAAACCACAAAGAATGCAACTTCATTTTGTTAAAGACAGTCTTTGAAAGACAGCCATAAAACAGAGGAATATAGCTTCCAGTTGCCTTATTCAATGTTTGTACTTTTTCATAATAGTCGAACACAAGCTTACTATACCCCAGCTACAGTTCGTCTTTTGAACTAGGAATATAATGCACATTTCATAATCCGCATAAAGACACAAACACTTTGTTCAGAACGGATAGCATCACTTTTCCCAAATATTTCAACAGATAACTTCCATTTACACCACAGCATTACTCTGTCACTTGTATCTTGCCATCCAAGTAAATCTGTACCTGTTTGTAATAAGTCGTGAGTTGACGTATCTGTACTCCCCTTCATACTTTTGTTCTATAATAGTCATCTTGCCAATTGGTCTCCTTAAACGTGTAAGGAAAAACCCTGAAATAATCAAGTATGCCATCATGCTAGCTGGACCCTGTGAATATCAAAAAAGAATAAAAGCTTACAATCGAGATGGTCTCAAATTACAACATGTGTATCCTAAATGCCCAGACAGCATTAATCTGTTGATTCTCACCTGCCATGTGTTTACCTAACCAATCCAATTACTCTTGCAATGCCCATCATGTTCTGTTCTTTTGTGCTGTACATACTGTTTTACTAATTCTCTGTCCCAGGTGCCCTTCCCATCACAGTGGCCCACCTCTCCAGCCTGTCCAGGTCCCTTTGGATGGCATCCCTTCCCTCCAGCGTGTTGACCACACCACACAGCTTGGTGTCATCAGCAAACTTGCTGAAGGTGCCCTCAATCCTGCTTCTCTCAAGCAGTCCCAGTAGGGATCTATTCTTCTGGATCACCGCTCACAGACAGTATGATTAAGTATTACTGAAACGTGGCATGGCATAAAACCAAAGGCATAAGTGAATTCGGCATAAATTGCCTGTAATAACTAAGTATTGCAGAGTACCTAAGTATTACAGAGAGCAATGAAAAGAATCTGAGACTCAAAGAATTACCAAGGTTCAGCTAAGTCTTACTGCAGCCTGTTTTGACAAAACGTACATCATGTGTCCCAGAGATACTCCTTGTCAAACCCTGAACATTTTTGATAATGCATCATTTCACTAAGCTGAAGAATTATTTGTGAAATAATTCAGCTTATTGGAGAGGGGAACATAATGGTCATGAGCTCTATGCAAGGAATAGGTCCCCTTTATAGATTCTGCAAAGAAACAGAAAACTTATTTTCTCCCTTAAACAGAAGCTACACAAGATATAATCAACCAGAAGGGTACTGTACTAAGTGGGGAAGAACTTTCTTGTTTCTTCAAATCGTCATTCAAATGCCTGCAAATTCTGGTTTTTATTATGCTTGCCTCAAGATAGAGAGCACTAAAGCATACAAAACATTAAGCCTAAAAGCATATTTTCAGCATAAACAACTGAAGTTTTCCTCAGACTCCAAGGAGGTACAATGATATAACCAAAGAAGGGAAAATTGCTTATAATGCTAAAAAAACCCACTCAGTTTACCTGAGCTCCTATTGCACTTGTTAGCTTGAAGATATACAAAACTATATCTAAGAAAGGCTGGAAGAGAAGCATAGGGAAAAAAAAAAAGCATTAGAACATGAACATAAACCAATTATAAAATGGTTCAGAAACTACAAACCACCCCAAGAACAGTTATAGCTCTGCATTAAAAGCACAATACTGCTCAACGCATCACACAAGCTAAATGCTAAAAAAAGAAAAAGGTATCTCAGCCATGTGACATTTTCCTGAAAACATTCACACAAGAATTGAACATAAAAGCACTATGATATTTAGATAAAGTACGTAACGTTAAAAAACCATACCTCATTGTTTTAGGTCTGTAATAACACTCTGCTCACTAAGCAAAGTTCGACTAGATGCCAAGATTCCTTAATTGAAGCAACTGTGAGAAATACTAAGCAGAAGGATAATGCCATATAGGCTGGGTACCTGATAGAAGCAATATTCCCACTGGCAGGCTTCCTGTTCCATATACTTTCTCTCAAAGCTAGAGCAGCTGAACTACAGGTTTTGTAACCAGAAGTTTTTGAACACATCAACTTGTTCATAAAAGTAGAGGTGTAAAGCAAGATACAACATAGCATCAAAAACAAAATTAGTCTAAAAACTTCCAAGTGTTCTACCTCATTACCTTACTCTAAAATTTACTCCAGAAACAGAGGGAAATGCTTACTTAATCACACCTCCCTAACCAAAATAATATTTGTATGTAACTAAAAGCTAGCCATTGGTTTTCTTCTAAAACCTAACTAGCTGAGAAAGCATACTCATCACTGTTCAACTGCAAAAAGAATGAGGTAAGTTCTTTGAAAAAAAAAGTAATACAAATTATAACAAGCCAACAGTGCTTTAGCAGAGGTCACGGAAACCAGAGTGTGAAACAATACAATATCATAAACAATTATTTTAGCACCATACTCCAGGCAATACGCATACAAATGCAGGCAATTGTCTTCAGCTCTGACATCACATCCTAAACATCCGCAGCTATTACTCAAAGTTCTCTCTGAAGACACTTACCTTGCTAAGGTTTGAGTACAGGTCCACTACACTGTTACAGAATTTTTCCACATCCTGTGTAAGGAGTTGATCTGGATTAGCTATTCTGTTGTCCAGATTTCCCATTTTGTAGTATGTATAAGCTCTGAAACAAAACAACAGCTAAGTTGCAGAAGAAAAATTATTACCTGGCATCTTAAATAATTGGACCCACCCTGCTCCATACAACTGAGATGTAAAGTAGTGCAAACATTAAATAACTGTATGGAGTCAACACAGCTTGTGCTTCTGCCTGCCCAGATCTACATCAAATCCTGCAGAACCTCTTAGGCTCCAGGATGTCTTAGCTGAATCTCAGGCCCATGCTGCTCTATGCATTGCTGCTGCACTTCAACTTAGAAAACCCTCAAACTCTCATCAGCATGCCTGACAACCAAAATGCAGTGCAGGAAGACATAAGCAGCTACTCAAGTTCATGTATTCAATTCAGTCTGCAGGATTATTAGTACTACATGAAAGCAACTGAAGTATTTTGGAAGCTGACCCAGTAACGGAAGCAGTACAGTGCTTTTTTTTACCCCTGCCAATGGAGGCAACTTTGCTGGTTTTGTATCCGTGCCATATACAACCTGGATAAGCCCTCATCCTTAAATGCAAGTTAATTGCAACCAAAAGACTTTTCTAAACAGTATATCTAACAACAGTACATCTAACCTATTAAGCATCTTGCTACCTTTTTACCTCATACTTAAATGGATTTGGTTTGATTTTAATCATTTTAGTTATTAAAACCTTTAGATGTTAACAAGGTGTTACTTACTTAAGATACTCCTCATAGAGGTATCTGGTGAGTCTTACTCGGAAGCAAAGTTTCAATTCATTTAGACCATACTTCAGAAAGTTATTCACTAAAGAGATCTAAAATAAAAGAGACAGCATTTCAATATTTATCTAACAAGTTTTAATATACTTGGATCAGTTTGCAGCATAAATTGTGCAAACACTTTAGAGCAGGTGAATTCTCCCCTTGAACTCAATACCACTATTAACACACCTAAGACGAACCATATAGCTTCTGCAGGACCACTGATCAGGTTTCTGTCTACATTTTAAGAAATCCAGTTCCTAGTGGATCTCACCATGTCAAAAGATTTAACATAAAACTATGTTCATATAGCATATCTTCAGCTCTTCTGATAACCTTTAGAAAAAAGACACCATTTAACAATCACTACCTTAAATTGACCAATTCACTTTTAAATCCATTGTAGGTACATTATCTATTATGTATTATCTATTATCTACATTTATAACTGGTGAAGGTCAGAGATGTTGACAAGCTGAAGAAAAGTTAAAGGGTAAAAAACACACCAACTCTCAGAAGCCATATAAAATAAATATAAAATTGAAGAAGATGCTTTCTTTCTAGTCTTTAAAGATGTCACAAGAATCCCAAACCTACAGTGCTGAAGCATCCTCCAATCCATAAAATGTTATTATGCAGTAATACAGATGGCACGTAGCTATCAGTCAGAATTGCCATCAACAAAACCAACCTGAAAACCTAAACATACCTGTCAGAAAAATAGTTGCAGTCATTATGAAAACATGCTGATAATGTCTCCCACATACTGGAGCCAGAAAATGGTGTGTCCTATCACAGACCTGCATGTAAAGCAGTTTCCACGGGTTTTAAGACACTCACTTGAGATCTTTGCCTCATATTCTTAACTTACATTTAAAATATGTTCTACTAAAAGGCCAGCACAAGAAAAGCACTTACAGCAGGCATTGCGGCAATGAAGTTGAACAAGTATTTCTTGAAATCTTTCCTGCTGCGGCCAATGATAGCGCTGTAAACAACCATCATCTATGAGTTAGTTACAAGAGAAATGAGAAAGTATAAACTAGCATGCCTTAAGTGGATAAATTCTCAGTGGACCACAGAAGGAAAAAAACATCATGGAAATCTGTACTATCAGCTGTAGCATCAAGTGTGACAGACTTATCCAAGTTAATTGTTTAGTCCGTCAGGGAGCACTTATCTCACTTCTGCTCCTGCAGTAACTGCCTGCATTAAGGGCTCAAATTCATGGTCACAGAATGCCAGGTCCCTTCCTTCTTTGTTTTCACATATTCTCACAGGAGAGAAGCAAAGTAGTTCTTCCATCCTATTGGAAAAAAATCACTGAAAGCCTCTCCTAAAACACATTTTGAATTCACACTTCAAGGCAAATTCACACTTGCTTCGACTAGCTTAGTAGGAAGAAGGAACAATTCTAATATCCAAGCGACACGTCTATGACACTGCACCACTATGGCACTACTCTGAAGTGCCCTCTTAGATATTCAGATCAAAACAAGATTTAAGAGTCTAGTTTACAAAATGTTACCAGAAGAACTGAAAATCATGTAAGTAGTAAATTTTGGTAAAAAAAATAAAATTCTGCCTAACAGTTGCAGCACAGTCGATTAGAAATTCTTGTGTCTTTAAAAAAAAAAATAGGGATCCCCCCAAAAAAACTGCAGCGGTAGCAGTTTTCCAACTGCTTTATAGAAATAAGCATGCTATAAAATGTCTGAACGTGTTCTGACAGACTACTTCCCCTGTTAAACACACAAAAAAAAGTTTTAACATAACAAGTTTATAGATACCTTTCAATGACTGTTCCATTCTGAATCATCCAAATATCACAATACGTGCGGACTACCAGCATGACAGCAATAAGCAGCAAATAACCTGTCTAGTACAAAAGTTGCAGTGTAACAGTTAATCAATGGATAAAATCCACCACTTTGTTTCTAGTAAGTGGTACAAACATTTCAGAAAAGTATTACCCTGCTGTCCCCAGCTAATGCAATATTTGCTTACTTTGCAGGAAACACATTAGCATACTGATTACACTGATGTGTATTAGCATACACATAAGATACTGATTACATTTTTATAGAGAAAGTTTGTCTTTTAAAAAGCTGTATTTGGTTGATATATATACTGGACACATCCTGTAAGATGAAGGATTGCAGGGATAAAGGAGTTACTGCTATTCTAAGACACCTTTCTGCCATAAGCATAGGGTTATGTAGGTTACAAGGGACATCTGAAGGTTACCTACTCCAACTCCCCACTCAAAACAGGGCCACTAGTAACCAGTCAGACCTTGTCCCATTGATCAAAAACCTTTAAGCTCAACAGTCCGGTCAGTTTTACATCCACCTCATTGTCCACTCATCCAGCCAATTCAGTTGGGCTATCAGGCTACATGGGGTAACCTTAATCTCTCAAAGTCTCTTTAAAAATTTAAGTATTCAGTGTCCTCTGTTCTTCCCTTATCCACACAGTCATCTCATTACTGAAAACAATCAGGTTAGTAAAGCATGAGCTGTCATTCATAAATCCAGTTTGCAATCACCTTGTTCTTCACGTGGCCAGAGTTAGCTTCCAAGAGGATTTGCTCACAGCTTTACTAGGAATATGGTGAGGGTGACCAGCCTGTAGCTTTCAGCTTATTTGTTTTTGAAGATGGGAGTTGTGTTTGGATTTTTTGTGGGTTATCAATAACCTTTTCTGATGGCCGTGACCTTTTGAAGTTGATGGAGGCAGCTCTGTTGGCACTCTCAGAGGCATTCTCATTCAGGCTTCTACCTTCCATGCACTTCCTTTTTGTGAATTAGATGAAGGTCCCAGTTCATCCAAGCTGGCTGGTGTCATGCTTAGTCTACATTCCATAAATTGCAACTCATTGTTCTTATGCCAGATGTATACTGAAGTTCTAATGTATTACAGTTCATCACTTAAATACCAACCTCAACTAATGCCCTTTTTTAAAAAATACTGTGTTCTGGAAAGCATGAGGCAAACAATTTTATCTTGCTGCATTCTAGTCTGCATAACTTTCCTGAAATTATGTTAACAGACCTTCTGACAGATCCACTTTCTAGTAAGAGTTGGACTAGATACAAGTTACAAAAGCAAAACTACGAACAGCTTGCTATTTAAAGGTTGGAAGCATTTGAACAAAGAAGTGTATTACCTTGCATTAAATCAAGCAAAATTTGGATGCCCTTTTAAAAGATATACTACAGACAGTTATTAGATGGCAGTAAATAGCTTATCTTGTAATTGAGACCAGAATGCGACCTTTTAGAGATCTAACAACTGAACGTACATGTAGATTTTTATATAAATATACATTGCTATTTTAAAACATACAGTTCAGTTTAGTCCTATTCAAGTAAAGTATGTTTTTGCTTATATCCTGATACAATGATGAAAGAAAAAAATGAGCATTTTGGAGTCAAATTTATTTGTTACTGCAGGCAATGCTTACCTCTTTACAAAGTGTTCTAGGTACCATTATTTTCAGGATTCGACATATTCTTGCAATAAACACTCTGTCTACCATTGCTCGCTCCTTCTTTCCCTCTTTCTGCTGCACATAGAACAAATAAAACAAGACAAGTGAGATTTTTTGGGGGGTAATGTATTGTATAAATATCGATGTGATGTTTTCCCCAAGTTATTTACAGCTATCTTCCTCCTGCAGCATTTCCCTCCAATTTAAGACTTACTCACGCAAGCTACATGACATGTAAGAATTAGGAACGTATGCCCTCACAGCTAACAGAAATCCTACTAAGCTATCAAAACAAATTCCAGTAGGATGTAGCTGCCATGATACAAAATAAATATTTCAAATCTACATGAGAAGTGGTACACAAGACCCCAGCATTAAAACGTCAAATTATGAGTTATAATGCAATTTGCCATCTCTTAACACTGCTTGTCTGTAGAAAACACCATCAGCCAGTATGTATAAAGATGCCTTCCATCAACGTTTTAAACTCCTTGCCTGTACAGCCTAAGCTCGCTTTAAGTAAAACCAGAATTTGTTATTCCTTTACTTTTAAAAAAAACAGTGAAACACACTCCTAGTGAGCTAAATCTACCAGACTTAAACTCTCCTATACCCAAACCCCTCTTTTTGGGTCAGCTGCATTTGTACTGACTAACTTGAATACTTTCTACCAAGCTAATAGTCCAGGTATCTTTTCTTTCCTTTGTTTTCCTTCTTTCCTTTCACAGTTGTGACATAAGGATTCAGTCCTGAAAACAGTCTAAAACGCATACATGTGTACTTAAAGCAAGTCTTGCCTAATCAACCTAATCTTGCTATCTATCTGCTACACAAAGCTCATGTGAAGTGTAAGTTATCAATGCCTATAGTAATACTACAACATACTCGGACAGGAAACCTGAAACAAAAAAATAAAGAGGCAGGATAGGGAAGACAATGAAAGTAGCCTGTGACTCACCATTAATCAACCCCGACTGCTTGATAGGATTGTCTATTTTTTTATTATTCTTATTTCCAAGGATGATTAAACCACAGAAACTTGCACAAAGAGTCTAACAATCTCTCGACTTACTGTTTACGTGTGCAACATGATGGGCAACAAGTGCAAGCTCTGCACCCTAGCAAACTTCCTTTGTGAGTAAGCCTACACCTGTTTTTCAGGTGATAAAGTCAATTATAGTCCTACCCTTTTCAAAAAAGTGTATGAACACAAACTACAGGTAAAAATTCCAGCCAGATAGGATGGTATATGGTAGATGACAAAGGCATTTTAACTAAAACAATTTTTTTTTTTAACAAAAAAACCCCCAAGCATTCCCAACAACTAAAGACTACTGTCCAAGCCTAATGAAGCATGACCCTACACATGTAATTGCTCTTCTGTAACAGAAATGACGAACCCAGTGTCTGATGTGGGAAATTTCTAGGAGTATCTGACTAAACATACTTGATGTCTCAGCTGAACCTATTCTTCCTCTGTATTAATCTCTTCCCCACTTCTACTTGTGTGTTGCACTTACATTAATTCCAATATCTTCTTTCCCAGAGTTTTTTTTCCTTAGATTGTTAATTCTTCATTCAGTATAATTATATCCAAGACGGGTAGGAATAGAGAAAGCTAGTTAAAATTTTTACAAATAGATAAAGCTATGCAAAATTCGTTTATGGCAGATAGCACAGTCAAGGTCTGTCTGGAAGCTAACATAATGCTTGCATACCCCTTTACATTTATCCAGTGCAAGCATTTTCTTAAGTTTTCGGCAAAGACGGAAGTATGAGGAATAGTTATAGACCTATTCAAATCATCATGTGACTCAGTATTTCTAGTCATGGGCTCTGTCCTTTGGGCTAACTATCATATTTTATTTCTGCACAAAACAAAAAACTTTAAAGGGATATAGTTATGTCCTTTTCAAATAAACGAACTAACAGACACACAAACGACCAGGGAAATACCAAACTTCCTACCAGAAGTTGGAATTACCCTTTAGAAATAGACTCTACAGCTTGTTCCATACTTTTTTCTTTTAAATAGAAAGCAAATACAAGTCATACCAAATATACAGGCAGCATTGTTGCTATTCATACAGCCAAACTCACAACACTAGTCCTTAAACATTCATAAGGCACAAAGAAATTAAAAAGCACATGGTACACATGAAGCACATATTATGCAGTCAAACTTCAGGCACATGTGACTAACCTGCTTCTTCCATTTGTTTCACTAATGCAAGTATGAAAGTATAATTCAAACCACATTTGCACCACAGCCATCGTTCTGTCCTAAATAAAACTACAATTATGGGACTTAGCAGTTACCAAAAAACCCACCCCAGTATTATTTTAAGCTATTAAAAATACATTCCATGAAGAAAGAATTACCTCATTGTTCTGCAATGCCTGTTTTCCACTTCTTCTACTGTAGAGGAAAAAATAACAAGTAAAATACTCTGTTAACACACATTTCTTTGTCTTGATCTCTACGCAGAGGAGACATGGGAAAGCTTGGGATTATATCCCTATCTATTTCTTTCCAAGCAGTACAGTGTCTTCACAGCAGGGCTACATTTTATGTCCAACTTCTGTGCTGTTTTTATACTATTTCAATGAAACCTTACTCCTTCCAGGATTCAGTTTCACATAGGGAAACTAAGTCTCCCTTTTGCATTTCTGAGTTTTGCTTTACCTTGGCTTTGGTATCATGAATTCCTAGGGTTTTTACATGTCTCTCACATATTTTGCAAGCGTGTCTACATGGTTCCACTGACCACAAATGAAAGCTACACGAATGCAGATTCAGCAATCCAAGCAACTCAACTTTGATGTTTTGCACTATCTAAATAACCAATTTGTTTTGCATTTTCACTTTCAAACATTCCATTTTACTATATATATAGATTATTTGTTCATAAACATGCTCTGCAGGAGAAAAAAAAAGTCAGATCCTCTGAAACCAAGTTACTGCAAAGGTGTGCACTGGAAGGGTAGCTAGTTTTTATTCCATCCTAAAAATACATTTTAGAGAACAGTCTGAGGGAAAATATGTATCAACTAGTGCTAAACAAACATTCAGAAGCACAATGCTATTCTTCCTCTCCTTTTAAGAAATGCAAGCTGACATATAAAACAATTACAGTTTGTCTTTCTACCTTTCTGAATATTCAAGCATCAGATAAGCACATGAAGCTGTTGGGAGAGCTTATGCATGTCTGCAGTTTAAAGTGACAGCTAAATATTAAATTGTAACTTACAATTCCTCAACCATGACACTAAACCATTAAGAAGAGGCTGCCTTAAAACCACAATATTCATACACTTTCAAGACAGCACGTAGGAAATTACAGGGAAGTAGAAACTATTAAAGGCACTGCTCCTTTTGCCTACAACATCAAAACTACTGCAGGCTGCCATACAACCAGTTATCCCACAACTTTATCAACAGCATCGTTTCACACTTGTGCTTTAAAGCTCTGCAAGGAAAATATCTAGGATGAAACCATGTCTGTTTTAATGTACGATGATTAGAAAGATCTACAAATGTCATGGGCCAATGTGAGAAATAACTTATTATGGAAGAAAGAGGCAAGGTAGCATAAGAACAGCAGAAAAGGGAAGGAGACCATGAAAGTGAGAAGGGAGAGTGATGCCAATTTAACAAGAACTTAATTAAAGGTAATGATGAGACAGAAGCCGGAGAGAAGATAAAAGTCTTGTAAGACTACTTGTGCAAAAGACAGAACAAAGAACATGAAGGGCAGCAGAGGGCAGATTGGGGGAGAAATGGCTTAATAAAAGTTCAGAAGAGATTTAACACTTAATCAGTCCATCATAGAAGTATAGCTGCAGAAATGGTAACTGTGCAAAGTCTAAGAAACACACTAGTTACAGATTACATCCTGGTGATGTAGAAGCAACATATTGCCAGTACAAGAAACTTCTCAAAATGTCTTTTCGTCTTTTAATTTTCCAAAGTACAAAAGATTCTTTTAAAATCCTTGAGTATGGATCAGTCAATCACATCCAGTTCGCGTCTAGGTGAAAAAAAGTTTTCTTAGGTGTGAATAAGTTGTTATCAAGCTACGTGGGTATTTCCCTAGATGATTCATGACTACAGCTTACCATAATGCAAAATGAAAGCATGCTGCTCTTCCAGATATGCTGTAATAATTCCTAGCTTTGCTGCTTCAAGGCCTGCCAATGTTTGAAGTCACAACACTCTAATACACAACTACTTCAGCTTTAAAAGGATCAGAAGTGAATACATTAAAATAGTAATATATTAAGATGATGAGGCCCAGAATTATTCTGGCAGTTGAATACCTTTGATGTATTTATTCATACATTATTTTCATACACTAGCTGTTGAGAGAAATTTGGCAGCTGAAACTACTGAACTGAGCTGATACTGATTATCCATTAAAGAGAAAGGACTGTTCAGAAATAGTGATCTTGTATTTAATTGTGAACTCACATTTAATTAGAATTTATGAATATAAAGTTTAAGATAAAAAATATTTGCATTTCAAAACCTAGTGAAAAAAGAGCTTTAACAGTGTTTTATTCTCTTAAAAATAAAAAAATCATCCAAGCTCAAAACAAGACTAATACTTCAATAAGAATCATGGAATGGCTTGGGTTGGAAGGGAACTCTAAAGGTCATCCAGTCCAACCCACCTGTAGTGAGCAGGGACACCTTCAACTAGGTTGCTCAGCGCCCCATCCAGTCTGACCTTGAATGTTACCAGGGATGGGGCATCTACCACCTCTCTGGGCAATCTGTTCCAGTGTTTCATCACTCACATTGTAAAAAAAGCCTTCCTAACATTTAGTCTAAAAACCATTTAGCCTAAAACCATTACCCTTGTCCTGTTGCTACAGGCCCTTGTAAAAAGTTTGTCCTCATTATTCTTATAGGCCCCCTTCAGGTACTGGAAGGCTGCAATAAGGTCTCCCCGGAGCCTTCTCTTCTCCAGGATGAAGAACCCCAATGCTCTCAGCCTCTCTTCGTAGGGTAGGTGCTCCAGCACTGTGATAATTTTTGTAGCCCTCCTCTGGACCTGCTCCAGCATGTCCATGTCTTTCTTGTACTGAGGGTCCCAGAGCTGGATGCAGTACACCAGGAAGGGTCTCACCAGAGCAGAGTAGAGGGGGAGAACCTCCCTTGACATGCTGGCCACACTTTTGATGCAGCCCAGGATACAGCTGGTCTTCTGGGCTGTGAGTGCACACTGCTGTCTCACATCCAGCTTTTCGTCCACCAAAGAAAGAAAACAAGAAAGGAAACAATCTTATATATGAAGTACGGACTAGAAGCAGAAAAATAAATATGGCTACATAGCTCTGAACACATTGCTCCTGATATTAAAAAAGAATAAACCTATTGTTATTATAACAAGTAAAACCATTTTACTTGCAACAAAAGACTGTGCCATAGTTCTGCCTGGAATGAAGCTTCCACAGGCCGATTATTGCAGAGCTTTTCCTTCTCAAGAGTCTTATTTTTTCAGCCAACACCTACTGGCACTACTTCAGACTACATTACATCACTGTAGAACTTTTTAAATGAGAACTGTGTTTGCATTCTCATTGAATTTAAAGACTAAATAACACCCTAAATTAGTCAGCAAGAATACAACAAGACTATCAGGTTACAGCAGAGAGCTCTAACATTTGGAACATATTCAAGCTCTCTATTATTCCAGACCTCTCATTTACTTAATCCTGGAGCATCACAAGCCTTATTGGAAGGAATAAGGCTGTCCAGATTTTCTACTGCAAATAACTCCTCTGGTATAGAAGCCATCTTGAGCAGCACACAGCAAAGACTGCTTGGAACAGAAACATAAGGCTGCCTTTCACTGCAGTGTTACTTGCAGTGATCACCCTATCCATACATATCGCTCTCCAGTTTGAATTAAACTGTGCTTTTTATTACCCCAGGAGTAGCTTGAAGGTCAAGTGCTACTGATGCTTGACTTGGTTATGGGGTAGGGTAACAGCTATGCTGCAGCTCGGGTCAGTACAGTTCATCACATGCTTATTCAATCAATATCACTACAATTGAGGCAGCTATACAAAACTGCAGAAGATCTCTATTTTTGATCGTTAGTGTAGTTACTCTCACTTCATCACGAAGTACTCACAGTGAAACCCTTCTCTGATTGTATGTATTGTAAAAACAACTTCCAGATAGATTGAATGGGAGTAGCACTGGATTCAACAGTGACGTGAAACATCAATTTCCATGCTGTTTCCTCTGACTGTTACCTTCATGCTAAACAAAACAAAGCATTCTTTCAAAATGATCCTCTGCTCATGGTATTTAAAGTCAGACTCAAATCAAGCCAACACCTCAGTGACTACAATAGGCACACATGAAAAGCCACTTTTAAGTAGAGCACTGTTTTCAACACTCCTTATCAAGGTTACCATTTATGATAATAGGTACTATGCTCAGTTTTGGATCCCCTGTACAAAAAACCCCACACTGATAAACTTGAGCAGGTTCAGAAAAAGGGTGGAGCACTAGCCCCATAAGGAGAAGCTGAGGGAAGAGGGCTTGACCATCCTAGAGAAAAAGCAGCTTAAGAGGCCACTGAGGAGGCTGAGACAGATGAGCACACAGCATTAGAAAGAGACAGACATGAACTGAACTGGGGACGTTCCCCCTGAATAAAGAAAATACATAAAAAAAATTAAAATCACTATTACAATACCAGAGCATTGTAACAAGTTGTCCAAAGACTGTGGAATCTGTCAATGAATGTTTTTAAGATCTGACTGCACAAAACCCTCAGCAACCTGGTCTGAATTCAATGTGGATCCTGTTTTGAGCAGACACTTGGATTAACTGATCACTTGAGGTGCCTTCTACACTACATCATTCAATGATTTCACTTTTATTTTCTTAAATAAAAAACCATGAACAGGCTAGAGATATAATGGGACATGTATCACCTGAAGAAGTTCTGCAAAAAGCAGCATCTCATGTGTAGCCTGCTACCCATTACTTAACTGCACATAGCTTTCTCTGCTTGTTGCACATACGTTTGCTGTAAAAACTATCAGCAGTACTGGGATGACACTACACCAAACTCCTCATTCAAACATGCATGGTGACTGACAGCAACCTGCCAAAGAGAAGTAATTAGGCAAGTACTTACACAACAGACAGTAGGCAATACAATAAAACACCTTTCCCCAACACGATCAGCCCAAAAAAAAAAAAAAAACCCAAACAAACAGCAGGAAGTTTTAAAGAAACTAACGAAGAGTTTCAGGACTCTACAGGCATTTGGCAACCGATTCTACTCTAAGGGCAGCAGCGTAGCAGAGGGGTCAGGCAGAAAACTTGATGATAATACCATGAAATTTCAGTCTCCAAAAAAGTGTTGGTCACAGTGCTCCGTCTT